AGTATGGGCGGCGGAGAAATTCAGAACCAGGAGAAGAAACAGCGTCTAGTTTTCCCTGTAGGACTAACAATGACCAAACTTCGCCGTCTTAATCGCCAATCTCTAATTAATTTAGATTTAATATCCCAGACTTGCAGAACTATCAGTAGAACATGCAGGCTGTCAGCTGCTCTCTTCTGGTTCGCTTTTCTCTTCTCTGGCCTGTGCGCTTCTACAGGTAGGAGCTCCATGTTTCTATTTTTGCTGCTAAACTTGGTTAATCAGATCAACAAATCGCCTCTTTCGCTTTTTAGCTACTGTTTCCTCTTCTGTTGTTTTTCTCTGTGCGTCAAGTAGCGCGGCTGAAGTTGAAAGACAATGAATTAGATAGAAAGTTTCTCTTCGGCGCGTCAAACGCCATGTTGCTGCATCTTTTCACTGTCATTCCGTCAAACTGAGTTGATATTTGCGTGATTTTATAGCCCAAATGTTTGCAAATATAATTAATGAAGCCTGGAAATCAATGGTCTTTATCGTAGTTATGATTAATCACAAAGAGCGTTTCCGCCTAAAGAAAAAGCTATTTCATTCTCCAATGTTCCTTTTTTTTTTATATCCGGGTCCTTATCGCAATATCACCTCAAACATGAGAAATACCATTATGATTAAAAACCGTATAGATTAAAAAGCTTAAGTTTTCTTTAGAATCGTATATTTATTGTAAATATTAAGTAGATTTAATCTGTTATAAATCATTATTGATAAAACCTCTGGAAATTTATTGTTTTATACTGAAAGCATATGTCCACACTGCTATGATGCAATCATAGTAAATAGATAGTAAATACAGCATTATTACACAGTAATTGTTAAATTCCCCTTTCAACAATAGCTTAGTTTGTAAAAAAAACAACATATATTTTCATAAAAATGAAATAACTGTAGATAATGAATTAAATATTTCATATTTAAGAGAAATAGGTTGTTGAGGATAATAAAACCATGTAAGCAATATCTGATTTTCTTGTTAAGTAGGTGTTTATTAATAATGCAAGAAAACTATAAAATATATAGGAAAAATATTTTAAGTGACTTCTAATTGAAGCAATATATGTGTAAAAGTTTGGTCATTTATGTTAAGACTTTTTTGACTTTTAGTTTTATTGTTCTGCTTTATTGTTGGGATGGCTGAGTGCTTCTAATTAGGGCTTATTATGGGAAAAAATACCTCATCCTCAAAGGAGATGGATTCATCCTAAACCTGACATTTAATGTATCTTTCAAAAGCCAAACAAAAAAAACTATTGGTTTGTAAATAAAAAAATAATAATTACAATCTGTGCAGCACTTTTGCTAACATGTCTACTTTTTTCCCTCCCTCTGCAGCAGATGCTGCATCAAAAACTATAGTTGGTTATGTGAATGGAACAATCACCCTACCGTGCCAAACTAACCGCACGGACAACCTCCTCACGGTGGAGTGGTCGAAGGATAGAGGTTCGATCATCACCCTCCTGTTCCGCCATGGCCAAGAGACTATAGAGGAGAAGAATAAAGCCTTCCTTAACAGGACCAGTATCTCAGTGGATGGAGTGAAGCAGGGGGACATCTCTCAGACCATTACAGAGCTGCGGCTGTCTGATGGGGGCCAGTATGAGTGCAAGACCAGGTTGGGGAGCCAGCTGCAGATTGAAGCAACGCTGAATCTCATTGTGGGTAGGTGGTGGGAAGCTTCTTGACTGCTGAGGGGAGTTTAACAGCTAATCCTGGTTCTATTTCAATTTTATTTCAAACTATCAAATAATAACTTTTCATTGCTAAAGTTTTTACACCCATTTATTGCTTTTTTTTCTTACATCTTACATCAAAAGGTGGGGGCTTACTTTGTTGTTAGTCAGGATCAAACTAATTGCAATCCAGTTTTTTAAATATTTCATTATGACCCAACTCCACCAGTTTTGGAAATTACACTACCAAAGCCTTTTTCACAACAGATCCTGCTGAAAATTTCAGAATAAAATCCTACCATTTCCACAGTAATAAAGCATCCATTAAGCTAATAATAGGGGAGAATTGGGATATTAGAACTGGGAATGGGTTCCATATCACTAGTGGGTCTGACCCAATCTTTAAGATACCAAAATAAGAAAACTAGTACCCTACAAAATAAAAGCCTTTAAATTGCACCCAGCGATTCATTGCAGCATATCGCACGTTATGACGTTATGACCCAAACTCAACCAGTTTCGGAAAAAGCCTTTTCACAACATACCCCACAGCAAATTTTAAAAATAAACTCATTTCCACAGTAATAACTCATTTTTGAAAGTTATATAAGAGAAATAGTGTGGTTTAAAAACTATAAATCAATGAAAAATATTCAGACTTAAAGCTAAGTAAGTGAAGTGACTGGTATCAGCTGCTGAGGTACAGAGGCGATGCCTGACGGCCCAAAATATGTCGTACGAAAGAAGCCAAAAACTATGGTGACATAAATTGCCCACCAGGTAATGCTTTACAGGCCGCCATGAACACAGTCACAATCTAGCGATGCAAGGAAAACTACTGTATGCAGCAAGTGTCAGACCCCTTCAAAATTTCCTTAGGAATTTTTTTAATTTTATTTCTATAATACAACTTACATGTTCTCTCTAAACACTTTACAAAACAAACAGATAAAATATAGCATTTAAAGGCAATTAAAAAAAGAAATCCTACAAAGTCATGCCTGTCCACTAAAGCTGACAATATTGAAAGGGAATAATAAATTAGAGAGGCAGCCAAGATACTGGGCAGAGATCTAAAGCTGTGGTTGGAGGATCTGTCCACAGAACAACTATAAGTTCTGCTTTTCACAAAAAAAAGTCTATGTAAGAGAGAAACAAGTAAAGTCACAAGACATTAGTTGAAAATAAAACCACAAGATCCTGCGTACCCTTTATCCACTGTTATGCACAGTGGCAGCAGCATCATGCTGTGCAGGAGTTGGTTAGAATTGCTAGGATGACGCGTGGAGGTGGATGACGGGCAATCCTGGAATGAAGTTTGTTAGAGGCCGCAAAAGAGGTTGGATAGAAATAGCAGTAACAGTCCTTATTATATCATGTGTTCAGGAAAAGAAAGAACACGTGGAATACGGCAGGTCACTTTATTTTCACATCCTATTTTTGGTTCTTTTACCAGTAGCTGACTCTTGTGTTTAATGTCAGGAAGATAACAGGATACGGTTTAATAATTGTGGTAAAAAGCAGAACATGATGATTGTAAATCTGAGAAAGCATTTACTGTATTAGAAAAAAAAAGAAAAGAATCTGTCAAAATCCTAAAATCAATCATTTGGACCTAAATCTGGACTTCACCAGAACTCCTAAAACTTGTGGTGAAGATCAAACCATTATCATGTGTCAGATCAACCCAGTAAAGTCCACACTTATAACAATAATAGTCTCTAGAAAAATCACCCAATTTGACAGAGTTCAAGCTAATTTACCAACAAGATTGTGAGAAGTAAAACCCCTCTAGATGTACCAAATGGGTGCAAACCCATTAATTGTTATTTCTTAACAGAGATGATTAAAACCAAGTAATAAACTTAACTTTCAATCTTGCTCCATTTGGAGTCGGTATATAACATAAAATCCCCAAAAATAGTCTATTTGTGGTTGTAACTTGAAAATAATGTGTAAAATAAAAAAAATTATTGAATGAGTTAAAAGTAAAATTATTAGGATTTAAATAATAATAGGAGGTATTTACCTCTTTGTATAGCAGTACTATTATTAGGGCGAAAATATTTAGTTTTAGAGAAGTTCTAAGACAGCGATCATTTTTAGAGAACCTACAGCTGCAAAATGAATTCCTGAAGCCACTTTCAGCAGCAGGATACATTCTTCTTAAAATTAAAGATCATTAGTCTTTCTCACAATGCCCACACACAATTATACAGTACACACAATACAATACAATCCTCATTGCGCCAAAAAAGCAAAGACCTCAAACAATTTGGCCGTTATTTCTTTCATTTGCCCCTTGGTTACTGCTGCTCAGAGGTCAAAGTAGATTTAAATTCAGGGGTTTTGATATTAATTTATATTTGTGTAAGAAATTACACAAAGAACCTACTTAATTGCTTGGTAATGCCATGTCAATCCAGACTTAAATTGAATTAATATGCTAACTAAAATGCTGACATATTTGATGGAAACGATCTATGTACCTCTTCACCTGGCTCTTTATCCAAAAATTAACAGTATTGAATTAAATATTTTCTTTAGATACAATTAAAGGATTCCTTTTGATAGAAATTGAAGAATGCTTAGAAATAAAATCTTGATAATTAAACAAAGGGATTTTTTAAGCGTGGCAGAGTATGATCAGCCACAAATAGTTTATTAACTAGCGAGAGCAGGAAGAGCCATCCTGCTGAGAGCGAACCATCAGTGTGGCGTGTGAAGTGCAGACTCGCCTTGCATATCTGCACCAGCACAGCTGGAAGAGCAGAGTATGCCAGAGTTGAGCACGCAGTGTTTTCTCCCCTGCCACTGCTACCATGATCCATCTGTGGTCGTGCAAAACATGCAGCACTGCACGCCAGGCAGGAGGCGTGTCCAAACAGGAGGCAGCAGCATACTGCTTAACTTGTCTAAAAGGTTTCAGCACAATGGTCAATTTTGAAAGTGTGACAGACAACCCTCTAACCTTTTTATTTAGTCTCACCTCATTGACAAAAACTCACACCTATGAGTCGTCAGGTTTTTGTCAACAAAGATCTACGTTTAGCTCATCAGTTTTTGTTTTATTCATGAAAAAGGGAGAGCCAACTAAATGATTTTGTTATCGTTGATGAAATAACACTGCACAGCATGCACAACTGCTGATGTAATATATAGTATAAAAAATACCTTTCTTGATTGGGTATGATCTTCATCTTGCTTTTCCAGGTGCTGTATCTGAGCCACAGCTATTATTTGTTCCTCTGGGATTGACAGTGGAGTGTAGAGCCGAGGGCTGGTTCCCAGAACCTAACATAACGTTCCTGGATGCCAGCGGCAATGAGATGAAAGCCGAACCGGCACATGGCGCTCTGCAGCCAACTGGATATTTTACTGTGACAAGGAGATTGTCTTTACAGACTGACACTGACAGGTACAGCTTCTAACTGTGTTTGCTTCAACCCAGGCGGCTGTGTTTAATATGAGAAACCAGCCTTTTGCAGCTTTGCTGAGATAACAAATTTCCTCTTTAGGATTCTCTGAATAAGGTCAAGCTTACACTTGCATCTTTTCTTCGCAGAGTGAACTGCAGCGTTTACCAGCCGCTGCTAAATCAGAGAAGAAATGCATACGTTCCAGGTATAGTAATGCATTTAATGTTTATTCACATGCAGAGAAGGAGATTTTTATCAATAGAGAGCAGTTAAACATTTTCTATTTTCACTTTTATATCCAATATTTAATATCTTGAAAATAAGGCAACTTGGAAATGACGGGTGAGGAGTGAGACTTTTTATGAAACAATAGGGATACTTCATCATGTTTTTACTGAAGTTAAAGTAAAACACACTATTGATTTTTTTTCCTAATACTTACTCAAGTAAACATAACTGAGTACTTTTGCCATCTCAGTTTTTATGTTAAAAAAAACAACCTTTTGTCTCTTTAAAAATTCATCAGTTTGTAATTTTTTTCTCTTTCCAATTCTTCCTCAAGCAAGAGGCCTTCTTGTGAGATTCTGAGGTATTTCCCTCTGCCTTCATTATCGATTCTCTGTTCTGATTTCAGGTTTCTGCATGAAATATTGCTATAAGGAAATCCTGATCACAGGGGTGATCACAGGTGCTGCGTTTGTACTCGTCTACATTTTATGGAAGAAACAAAGACTTCTTTGTAAGTCAGCAACTGGTTTATACTTGAATCTGAGCAGATAAAAACATGTCTATACTAATATCTGTTTAGGGATTAATTGTGTCATACAACTTCTTTCTAGTTCATAAGTGCAATGGAAGAATATAAATGTGGAAGGAATTTTAAAACGTTTGAGTTTCAGGTTATTTTGTCTAAGTCCAGTCATTGAGAGCTACCATCCATTAACTTTTAGATGCATCCCTGAATCAAATCGGTGGTCAATTACCAGGCATTTCACAAAGAGTTTCCTCAACCCCTGTTTCTGTTACCGTAGAAACATTCTCCCCAGAGCTATCCTATTCGGGAGCCGTTTTTGTTCAGTAAACTCCGAGTGTCCTCTGTCTCCGCTCTCCCTACAGCCAATTATGTTGTTTTATTTCCTGATTTAGTCAGATTTTGTCGAAGTGTTGTCCATAAAAAAAAACAAAAAAAAGATTTCCTAGGTCTGTTAGACACATTTGGTTTTAAAAACAAATGCATGTCTGTTTGAGGGGGACTTATTTGTTTTTGGTTTGTTTAATATGAACGAGATGCGGATCACTTTTAGGATTACTTCAGGGTTAGGATTAGGATTCACTTGGTGATAATCTACTGAGCATACTAGCACAATCTGAAGCCAAACTTTGGGACTGATAAATGCTAACAACATCCATTTATTGGGATGACAACATCTGAAGCAGCTGCAAACAGCCACTTAATATTTACTGTGTAAAAGAAAACAGAATCAAGCTGAGGAGGAACCCATGAGATGATGAACAGGTCTTACCAGTTATGACGTTTTTAGACTTCATCTTCACCTGCTGCAAGATGATTTTACCTAAGTGGATACAATGATCCAACACTATTAAAGAAATTAACCTGTAATGTCATTGTGGGCACAACACACTATAGCAAGCCATTTTGATATGTATAAGCTTTACTGAATATGTATTCCTGATATCTGAAAAAACAGTTTTTCCTTGTTAAAATGAACAAAATTACATTCTACACATCTCAAATTCAGGGTGTCTAGAAATTTATTTCAGATCTCCATATTCCTATTGTTACTGGTCAGCATTTGGATTATTTTGATTTTGGAAGAAATGTATTTCAGATATAATCAATGTATAATCAGTCAAATTAATACATGTCAAAACGGTCACTTAAAATGTGTAAAAGTTTCTATATAAAACTTTAATTCTTATTAGTACAATCTTTTTTTTCTTCTGAAATTCGATTCAGTTTCTGCTGCAAAAATGTCATTTACAAAATCTATGATTATAGTTCAGTCTAGGAGTGTGATTTTGATCAGGAAGAATCTTATTTTATTGATCAACAAATGGAACAACAGAGAGGAGATTGCTTTTAATAAATGTAAAAACGGCCTGCCATAGCCACTTCATATAAACCTACACATTAACTCAAGGAATAATCTTATCCTTCGCTATCTTCCTCTGTCCTGTAGCGGTTTTCTGTGTCTTTTAAACACTTTTTCCTTTTTTTTGTATTTCTTCATTAAAATCTCCAGTTCCAGGTGAGTGAAATAGGGACGTCCTGTTGCCTGTTGTCACTGTGACTCATTGAATCGGGGCTCTACTGATTATGGCTTTTTAAACTTGTCATGCACATGCTTAACTCTGATTGAAACTACTCATCTTTGATTAAACTAATTCATAGTAGCTGTCGTGAAACCAAATACTCATTTCCCGACCTTTGGCTAGATCAATTTAGAGTTGCCAATTTGCATGTGAGTTTTTAAACCTTCTTCTTGAAACAAACCCCAGGTCTTTGTTCTGAATGATATGCTCCTTTGTTTTGTCTCTTTCTTTTACTGGAAAGACTGATTAATCCAGGTGTGTCTTGGTGTTGTCGTCATGGATTAATCAATCTGTTCAGTAATGGAGGACGAATGAAGCAAAAAGGAGCTGGCTGAAGTAAAAGCAGTAGCGGTGGTAGGGATAGAGCCCATCAGCCATCAGATTCAGGTGTGCTGGAAAAGATACACATCTAAAAGTTTCAGGATAGTAGCTCTCAAGAACTGGACATGGCCACCCATAGTTTATCATGTAAAAGGAAATACTGTGCTTTTTTTGCGACCCTGGCAGACAGATGTATTACACCTTAAAAAGAGAGTTATCTTTTATTCCTGGAAAATGGAACGTATAGCAGAGGCTGCCTTGGAAAAAAGGGAAAATGACTAAATGAGCTACACACCTGAGATGACCTCTGAAACTGCCTATTTGTTCCATTATTTTGTAAAAAAAAAAAAGTAAAGAGCTATTATCCTCGTTTAAAAACATAGTAAAACAAACAACAAAATATGACAAATGATTTTTTTTTCTGATACAGAGAGCAAAGGAGGGAAATTACAGAAATCAACAAAGTTTAATTTTTATTTACCTTTTTCCCTCAGTTCCTTTCTTCACGTGTCGGACGCAGAAACCATCTCATCCAACACAGCAGGCCAATCCCACTGCAGCACCCAGGGATCAGGCAGAACCTGCCGAAAACACTTACTTTAGCAAACAAATCGAAGAGCTCAAGTCAAACATTTTTGAGAAAGACAAGCTGATTGCCAAATTAGAGGCAGACCTAAAAGAACTTCAATCCAAATGCAACACAGCTCAGCAGCAGGACCGGCCTGAAACTGACCAAAGTTCCTCACGTCAACAAATTAACCAACAAGGTAACACACCACCAACAGCCAGCTTGACAAGTCTCAGTGGAAAATCTGACCAGACATCCAAGGGGAAAGGCTCCAAACCAGGTTTTTCAGTGCAGCATCTGCCGACCGCTCCTCTGAAAAGTGGCACACAAAAAAGCCTTCCAGCTCTTTCTATAAGCAGCGGTGCTGCTTCCTCAGGTTCGTCTTTAGCTCCTGCTACAAATGAAAGCAATATCTTCCGTTCAGGGAGTTTTTCTGGTATTCGTCCAACTTCTGTCCAGGCTCTGCGCAGGAACACTATGCCTGCTAACCGGTTCATGGTTCTGGCAGATCTAGCTGAAGAGTCAGAGTCTCTGATTTCTGAGAAGACCAAACAAAATCATTAGCAGGGGATTCTTACATAAGCAAAGTTATGTGGATGTACTTAATGTTTGCGTTAACAGTCTATGCATCTGAAAAACAAAAACAGAAATGTATTAAGATCCTTCAGATAAATAAGCATCTGGTCAGAGGAGGGCTGACACCAAAGACGACATTCAAATATTTTCTTTCTCCCATTTATGTTGGGAATTACGATATGATCTTTTTAACATTTGGCTTTTTAGAGTGTCATAAACCTGCTCTGTCCTTTGGCCCACTTTAGCTTTAGCAATAGCTTTTTGTTTAACTTTAGCGTGACAGCAAGGGTCAAGTGGTTTCTGGCATGCCAGTTTTGAAAAATGGTATATTACTTTTTCATGACTACAAAAAATATGTATATGTCAATAAAACCAAATTAGGATATTTAGCACCCATGTAAAACCATTGATGAAACCAGTATATT